TCTTTTTTTAAAAAGTACTGGATTTAGTGTTAGAAAGCTTAGGCTCAGACCTACACTTGACTTCTGACCTTGAACAAAGTACCTAACCCCTCTGAGTCTCAGGCTTCTCACCTACCTACTGGCTTCATGTTTCCTTACGGAGACACTTCTGGTAAAATAACACTTCAGTCTGATCCACATCTGATTGCTGAATTTGGAAAAAGGGAAAAAACAAACAAACTATGCAAGCTTAGGACAGACATTTCTGGGCACTCTCTTTTCCCTATGTGCCTTCCTACAGAGGAGCTGCATTCTGGTCTGGTTTATACCATGTATATACTAGGGCAGGCTGTGCTCCTACAAAGGGAAAGCCTAAATTTTGGAGAAAAGTTCAATTAGAAACTCCATTTGACCACATAGCCAAGCCACATTCTCCAGGTTAGCATCAATTTTAATAATTAAATGAATGAGTCAAAGGGATAGCCCAATCTATTTTTCCCTTGTGTTAATTAATCAATTTAACCAACGTTTAGTAAGCAGTTAGCATACAAAAGGTATTATGTTATGAATAGTAGGAATGCCAAGATAAATAAAACAGGTTCTCTTTTCTCAGTCACTCTTCCATGATGGAAAACAGATTCATACACAGTTAACAAGGCCTAATTATTAAACCTAAAATAGAGATATAAAGTATTATGAGAGTTGTCATATACTGTAGAATCTTGTGTGATTTAACTCATCTCTACGTACATTCACATACTATAGATAAGAACCATAATCATAAAATTATCTGCTCAGGGCATCTGCCATAACATCATAAAGCTGTTAAGCAATGTTAGGATTTGATTATCAGAATTTAATATCTTAGAAATATTCCCTGTATCTGAAACCAATGAGTTAACCAATGTGGTTAACTCATTATTAACCACATTTTTCATGGATACATTAGCAAAGGTGAGTGATTTACTCTTAACAGGAATTCTCAATTCATTATTTCTGGAGTATAACATGTATGGTGAGGACTAAATATTCAATTTAAAAATTGGGTTAAAGAGACGGCCAAAAATATATGCCAATTCAGCCTGAATGTTTGCTCTCAGCATTAACATCAACCCCCAGAATCCACAGTCTATGTAAAAGAAATCAGGACACAGTGAGTGAGTAAGTGGCATTGGTTTTAATGGGAGAATACTGTGGAGTGTGCTCAGCTTACCTCCCTACTGATTTCTTGATGTGATTTCAAGGTAGAAAGGCATATAGAGATAAAGAAGACATGACCAGGTATTTGGTATGTAATTTTCTTGAAACCTTCCACTAACTCATTCCAGTGACATTTTTTATTCAAATAATTTCTCTTTTTTTCTGCTACCCTTCTGTCAAATCTCAGATTAAAATTAAAGCAGAGTTAAGAAAGAGTGATATCCTTTGTATGTTCAGTGTTCAAAAGTTTCTGAGGTCACACAAAGATCTATATATTTCCACATAGTTAAGTGCCTTGGGGAAAGCCCCTCCCCATTTTCTGTGATTTTTAACTATATGCAGGCAAATGAGATGCCAATTAGTGAAGCGTAGGAGGAGTGAGGCTGTAAATTAGAAGTTGAAGAAACAGACTAAAGGACACCACAAAGATGCCAAATAAATTTGAGGGAAAACAGAAATAACATTTAATTAAAAGCACACAGTGTGATTATCGGTGAGTTTTTAAACCACATATTCAATAGGTCTGTGATATAGTTTTCAAGTATCCAGTTACCAGAGAAAACCTAGGGAGTCAGAAAACAGGCAGAGACAAGCTATTCCATAAGAACAATGCATGACTAAAAACTATGTAAGAAATCATAGCATGCTGCTACTGGCCTCCGTGCGTAGGGCGGTCGATGGAATAAACAAATCCTGCATCCCTGCCTAACTCTACTACTAGAATCGATGCTATTTCAGGGATCATCGGTTCTTCCCCACTGTCCTGGGAAAGCCTTGAACAGACATCATTTATCTGTTGACATTGGGAGGTGTGTAACGTATGTTGGCTGAATTAACATATTGTGCTTTGCAATACAGCTACTGTGCCCACAGTCTAAAAAGTTAATCAAATATATGCTCCTACCAGGCCTTTAGAAGATCCACCACACCACTGCCAGACACAGTGAATGAAGTAGAAATTTCTATTCACCCAGTTCAGAGGCTCCTCTCTTCATAGAATGTCTGAAAATTCAGACTAGGTTTTTCTCACTTGCAAAGTATTTTGTTTTTTAAATCTAAGACCTTTTTTTACAGGGTGCTGCATACTTTTCCTAGCACCAAGAAATTTGCATGCTTAAACAGTGACATCAAAACAAACCTAAAGGCTCACAATAGAGTCTAAAATAGAAAGACAAATGACGTGAATTATTATAGAATATGCAAAACTTGCCCCATCTACATGTTTGTGATAATGAGAGCAGACAAGGAAGGGAGTTGTTTAAAGGTAAAAGATTTTAATCTATTTTATAAGAATGGTAAATGGAGTATATAACTTTTAAAAATTGTGAATCACTATTTTGTACATTTAAATGCATATAATATTATACATCAACTATACCTCAATTAAAAAAAGAAAAAAGAAAAGTAAAATATGTTATTTTAAAATATATTAAATATTAGCTATCAAATATATGTAATTTTTAAAAATTAGGTTAGATAATAAGTTATGAAATTGACAGAATTTAGTTTCATTAAAATGCTTCTACCCCAAAAGCATTCCCCCCCAAGATTTTGGACACTCTCCTGTCTATCCATGAAAACAAAGACTGTGACCCTAGAGAATACAGTATTTAAGGAATAAAGATAATAATAATAACAATAGCTAATATTTATATAGCTCCTACTATGTGCCAAGTACTGTTCTAAGTACATAACATAAATTAACACAGTTCATTCTCACAGCAGCCCTATGAAAAAGATGCTTTTTACTGTCTTTGCCTCACAGATGAAAAGTCGAACACTCTGGCAGATCATAATTACAGGCATACCTCAGCAATATTGCAGATTCAGTTCCAGACCACCATAATAAAGCGAATATCAAAATAAAGCAAGTTACATAAATTTTTTGGTGTCCTAGCACACATAAAAGTTATGTTTACACTATACTGTAGTCCATTAAGTGTGCAATAATAGCATTATGTCTAAAAAAATGTACATACCTAATTAAAAACTACTTTATTGCTAAAAAATTCTGATCATCATCTGAGCCTTTAGTGAGTTGTAATCATTTTGCTGGTGAAGAGTTTGAAACATTACAAAAACTACCAATATGGGACACAGAGTTACAAAGTGAGCAAATGCTGTTGGAAAAATGGTGCCTAGGCTTGCTTGATGCAGGGTTGCCACAAATCTTCAATTTGAAAAAAAATGCAATATCTGGGAATCTCAATCAAGTAAAATGCAGTAAAACAAAGTATGCCTGTAGTAAGAATCAGAGCCAGCATGTGAACTCATATACTCAGGATCCATAGTCTGTGCTCTTAACTAATAAGGAATAGGCAAGGACAAGTCATTTCCCTTAGGAAACCATGTATCCAGAAGGAACCGTATGACATATTACAACCTACTTCAACAGTTATATGCTTAGCATGGGACAAAAAAGTGAACACACCAAAGAGGCAAATCTCCCCATGACTGACTTCAGTCACCCTGGCATAAACCACTCTACTCTCAAGCTTCATCACCTAATCTCACAGTGTCAGGTTGTATTAGCTTCTTATCGCAGCTGTAATAAACTACCACAAATTTACTGGCTTAAAACAATGCAAATTTATTATCTCATAGTTCTGGAGGTCAGAAATCTCACTGGGCTAAAATCAGGGTGTTAGTGGGAGGCCAAGGGAACAATCTGTTTCCTTGCCTTTCTAGTTCCTAAAAGCCACCCACATTCCTTGACTGTGGCTGCATTCCTCCATCTTCAAACCACCAACACTGGGCTGAATCCTTTTCATGCCGCTATTTCTCTCATTTCTCAGGCCCCTGGTGATTACACTGGGCCCATACATGCAATCAAGGATAATTACAAGGTCATCTGAATAGCAGCCTTACTTCTTCCTTGCCATGCAACATAACATTCACAGGGTGAATGGATTAGAATGTGGGGAGCCACTATTCTGCCTGCCACCTGGACATACGAAGATGTGTTCATGAAAGTGAGAATGAAGGCAGAATATAACCATACAGCTGGTCTAGGAACTGTTCTTGACAAACAGGTGATACAACTTTGTAAATTTATCACAATACTCGTATAATATAAAGTATGTAGCAATCCAAATGCAAAAAGGAAATTCGGCCAACTAAATATAGTTTTTGAAAAGAACATAGACTGGTTATTAAGAACATCTGACTTCAAATTCTCTCTGTTACTATACAGTCTTGAACAAGACACTGACAGTGCTGAGGGTCAGTTTTCTCATCTGCACAGTGGGGATAATAATTCCTGACCTCCTTTACACGAGGACTGTTTTGAGGGCGAAGTTAGATTAAACCTTTGTGAGTAATAAAGACTATGTATCAATACAAATAAAATATGAATATGAGAACTCCCAACATAAGCATTTTTGTTCAAAATACAGTTATTTTTTAAAGGGTGCAAATGACAAAGATAATAATAAAAGTATATACCTAAAGCCTCCACCTTTATTTCAAAACCTGCATTCATATTAGTAATAATAACAATATAATTATTATTATTGAAATTTATCATTTACTACTTTTATAATATCCTTTCAGTGAAGGAAGTCTGTATGTTTAGCTCTGTTTTATATACAGAGAAACTGAAGCTTAATCTCTTGACCAAGATCACACAGAATATAGCCTCATAGAAGGACTAAAAGCTAAAAGTGTCAACTTTAAAATCCGTTCTAGTTTTGAAAATGGATGTAAACACCAGCCAGCCAAGCTAACATTCCCGTTCACATTAAGATCCACCAGTTCCACAGCTGCATGACTTAGAATGACTCAGACAGAAGAAAACGTTATTATACACTGAGGGTACTCACAAAGCAGCTCTATTGGCACAGAGTCCTAGAGTCCTTTGGTTTCCAAGATTCCTGTGTCTAAGGTTTCACAGGAAAGCATCATATCTTAAGAGTGACTCCTAAAAGAATGAAAGAATAATCACCTAAATATCGAGATGCATGATCAAAAGAAAAATGAAAAAGGTATCCAACTCCATCTCTGAAAGAGTTGATAGCATGTAGCTTTCTATTGCACTGGCTGAAATTGCTGTTTGCCTCTTCTAAATCTCCAAGGTTTTATTTCAAGGCCCTCTTTAGATATGGACAGACTGTTTAGTTACTTCATATCACCACTAGCCCGTCATAACTATGGTGACTGCCTTTATTTGTGCCTGCCTTTATATTTTCTGTCCTAAGTCACATTTCCCAAAGTGTAGAGGAATTCCTGTGGAAACATCAAAGAGATTCACTTCAGCCCAAAGTATCTGGGACTTCAAACCAAACAATAACTTGTCTTTAACTTTTGCGAGGCTTTTCTTTCCACTTTTGGTAGGATGATGAATAAATGTGTGTGTATGTGTATGTTTATAAATCAATAACTTGAAATTTTTACATAAATACATTAAGGCTATTTACATTAAATGTATTAATTTGAAATCTGAAGAGAATTACAGTAAGATTATTAAGCTCTAACAATAAATCAGGAAAATTTGAAAAAGACCGTCAAAATTTGACCATCAATTCTTTGTATGTTCTTTGAGTATATAGACCTTAAGACAAGTTCTTGACTTCTCTGTCCAATCCCCTTACCTGGAAAAAAAAGGGGATGCAGTAGTATTTAACTCAGAATCATGACGACTAAATTAAGTCAGTTAATATTTTGTAAAATACTAGCATAGTGTTTGGCAACAAAATAAGAAGAAGAAAAAGAAGAATATAATAAGAGCAACAATTATTATTATTAACAGTTGGTACTTGAAACAATGAAAAATATTATATAGATGAATAAATATTAGATCCTTGCTTATTCCTGACTTGAAAAATATGAGATTTATTTACATACATAAGTCCTATTTGTCTTATTATTAACCAATATAATTAATCAACTTTTAGATAGGATCCAGAGAAATCAGATTGTTTTACAGGGTATGGTGTAGTGCAAAGATTATTGAAATATACTTCACAGGAGCAAAGACTAAGAGGAGAGAACAGAGATAATACAATGTCACTGAGATAGCACTTGCAATGTTACCTGGTTTGACCAGAGAACTTTGTCATTGTAGTCTAAAACGGAAGGAATTTCAGACTGGCAGTCAGTCTGCTTACTGTGGAAGTTCCAAGACTATAAAAAGCAGACTATGCACATATAACTGTCTCATTTAGTAAATATCTCATGAAAAATTGTCAATTCTATAATATATGTGAAGAACTTCCTTGTAGTGACAATTAAATTTATTTGAATTTAGAATCAGTATTAAAATATATTTTACAAAATTACTGGTATTATTACACCACAATAAGTAAAATTTATATAATAAAGTTAACATGTTTAAGGACATAACATCTTACTACACTTTTTTGCTTCAGTGACTACCACTGAAATACATAATTTTGAATTCATTTCATGTGTAGATACGATGATATATTGGTATTATTTGAGTAATTCACTTTTGTCTGCATAATTACGTTATTTACCCCATGCCCTAAAAGCAGTGTCTCTCATATTTTGATTCTCATGTGAGATAAAATAATGTTACTAACATTTGAGAATAATGAGATAAGGAAGTTTTCTTTCTTTCCTTTGTATCTTAACTGTAAACTTATTTTAACAGTTTGAGTTTAGAAATTCCCTGATTTCTAAATTCTAGAACATCAGAGTATCAGAATTATCTTAATATACAGTATTTTGTTGTGAAAAATAGAGCAGCAAAAGTTTTCTCATTTTCTTTATTGTGTACTTTTACTATTATTTCTTTTTTAAACAGAAACAGGCCACAGACCTTAAAAGGTATGTTCTTGTGAGCTGATATGTGTAAAAAAAAAAAAGAAAGGACTAATTGGACAGTCGTGTGATCATATCCATTAAATAAACACTTTTTTTTTCTTTAAAGAGATGTAGTTAAAATGAAATAAAATGCTTTCTGTTTGTTTTGGCATGCCTTTTGACCTTCTGAGTAAACTTCACCTTGTACAAAAGTTAGTATATGTGACCTTCTGAAACATGCATGGCTAAATCACAGAGAAGTTTGACAAAGGCTTTTACTTATTGAAAAAAACAATTTGTGTTATAGGTCCCTTACTATAAAACCAATAACCAAAACTTAGCGCACTTCTAGAAAAGTCCAGAAGCTAAAAGAAATTCCTTGATCCATTATAGTGAGAATCAATACAAACAAGAAAAGGAAGTAAAAAAAACCCCAGGAATCTCTCAGCCCCTGGAAGGTTATATTAATTTCCAATCTCTTATCCAATTATCAGGTAGAAAAAATATAATTTTTTAATTCTGTAATGTCAGAGGCCATTATTTAGGTGATTTAAATGGCCATACTTTTTAGAAAGAACCAGCAGCTATTTCAGTATTTTAATACTTCATGGTGTCATGAAGTTCTATGTCTGGTGTACAGTCATCTCATAATTAATTAACTTAGGAATTTTTATTGCAACTAAAATACATTACCCAGGGTTCATGATCTTATTTTTATAAAGGTTCTTATTAAAGGGGCTAAGAAGTGTGATGTAGAGGAGGAAAATATATCATTCATGTTTACACATGGTTGGTTACTACCGAGTGATAAAAATTAAAAATTACATTAGTTAAAATAGGTAAATTTATTGATATATTTGACAAAATGGACAAAAAGCCCTCCAAAAATGAGAAGCTATTTTAGAAAACATAGTAGAGCTAAAAAGAATATTTAGTACTATGCAAATCCACATTCAAATTTTCAGAAGAAACAGCAGATAAACCTACTCTCCTAGGAGAGAGTTTTCCCCTTTAACTTAATAGCATCATCCAATCATATTTGGAAATATTCAGTGTTCACTAGGGCTTAAGAAAAAGTTCCTTGAATGAATTATTCACGAATACTTCAATCATAATTCCAAACTTTATAATAGTAGTTAGCATTAGCAATAAAGCAAAAAATAACTGAGAACCCACCTACTATTTTCTTTTAATTCTCTTTCTCCTTTCCTTTCCTCACAAGCGCAGAAAGCAGGTTCGTTTTGGAAGCAAATAGCAAACAGTACAAAAGGAGAACTTAAAGTGAGTGACTAACGATCAAAGCAAAAATGTAAAATCACATCAGCTGACAAGGGGCTGACTGACCCAAGGTTGTAGAATGTGAAGGCATTAGGACAAAGCTAAAGAATAAGTCCTTATTCAAAGGATGATCTTTGAAAGCCACAGGAGGCAGATTCTCCAAAGCCTTGTAATACACAACTACAGAAACACTACCGACAGCTACGACAGCTACTTTAAGTAGCCATTTTCATGGCCGACTTCAAGAAATTCTATTGCACTCCTTAATAAGTAGTATAACCTAAAATCTGTAAACAAGTACAACAAAATTACATAATTCAAGGAAGTGACTCAAACCATCTTAGAATAAACATAAAGTGAGAAGACAGAAGAACAGAAATTTGTGATTGCAGAACTTTAGCAAAAATGTTGATGCACAATTCTTGCTCACGTATCTTTGTTATGGAGATGTAAATCACCAGCCTGATAACTGAGAAGTCAAACATGAAAGAAAATTGATCAGTACTGAAAACAAATATAATTTCTTTAAGTATTGTATTGAAAATTAACCATGAAGAACCACATTGCAAAAGCATGTCTTAATCAGTTTGTCTTGTTGGTGTCACCATACTTTTATGATGCATATGGAGGTGGCTATGAGGGGGCTGGCATGGGGAAATGTGAAGAAAGCAAAATGTATAGGAGCTCCTATTAGCTGCTGTCTTCCCTACAGACAAATTTACATTTATCTTTTATTCTGTGAAACAAAGTGTACACCAGACCCTTTAGCAATATTATTTTTACATATGAATAGGGTGGACACATATGATGTGGTGTCCTGAACAAGGTGCTTCCAAGACCTCCAGCTAGATGGAGTGTAAGTGACCAAGGGCACAATCTGCTGAGCTCTGAAACCCTTTGCTGGATTTGCACAGAATCCACGCTTCCCACAGGCTGCTCCCAGCCTGCACCTGAGCACAGCAGGGCCATGAAAGCAGATGGTTCCTGGGATATATGTGACTCCTCTGATGACTGATTTTGCCTGGGGGGGCTTCCACATAGCATTGCCTGATATACGCTGGGTGTTCAATATTTATCTTTGGGGAAAATAAACCATTGTTATTATTGAGTTTTCAAAGCCCAGATTGCTGCATAAACATCAAAAATTAAACTCTGTGTGAAACTTAGTGTTAAGATGATTTTTCAGCTTCCTAATGCAATTCCAGGAAGTTGAAGTACAGCAAATATGTTAGAAAACTACAGAGAGACAGAGTCTTGTTCCATGTAAATATAACCTCTGATAGCTAGAGGTGTCAAAAAGTTAAATGGGCTGCTGCAATCCTCTCAATTACTCTTTGATAATACTAGCATTCCCATTTTATAGAACAGGGAACACTAGGCTTGGAGAAGCCAAGTTTTCAGGGTTACACAATTTTAGGGGCAGGAGCCAACATTCCAACCTCAATTTTGCTCACTCTTTCCACAACGTGGGAAGCAGCCGCATAGCACAGGGAGATCAGCTCGGTGCTTTGTGACCAGCTAGAGGGGTGGGATAGGGAGGGTGGGAGGGAGATGCAAGAGAAAGGAGATATGGGGATATATGTATATGTATAGCTGATTCACTTTGTTATACAGGAGAAATTAGCACTCAATTGTAAAACAATTATACTCCAATAAAGATGTTAAAAAAAAAAAAAAAGACCTTGAATGCTTGCATTGATGAGTGGATGGACTATGTGATGTGTAAAAACACTTCCAGTGCTAAAATCTGATGAATTTTTGGAGAAAATCCACTTGATGATGTTGTATCTCCTTTATTTTCTATAAGCCACCTTTCTTTTCCATACATTTTGGAAAAAGTAAATCTACAGACCCCATTTATATTTCTTAATTTGTGTT